TCTCTCTCTCTCTCTCTCTCTCTCTCTCTCTCTCTCTCTCTCTCCCTCTCCCTCTCCCTCTCTCTCTCTCTCTCTCTCTCTCTCTCTCTCTCTCTTCATGTCTGCGCATAACAAAGTTAAACAAACCAATTGGCCCAGACAAGGGGGTCAAGCTAGCGGTGGGAGGTTGGGGAGGCTAGCATTATGTATTTGTGTCTTGGGTTCCACTCCAGGAGACTCAGGGCCTCGTTATGACCCGTGTTGGCGCCATTCACCTGTCTGACAGTACATGAGCTGAGCAACTCGAGCTATGGCCTATAGAGAAAGCTAACATTCATGCAAGAAGTCAAATTTGTGTTTGTGAGCAGAGGAGACGAAAATATGCCTCAAAAAATGTGGGAACAACTTTTTGATGCATCCAAAGAACACTCAAACAGCTTTCTTTGGGAGGGAACAACACTCATCGGTGATTACTCGGCCAAAGAGTGGATGTTAGGGAGCAGAGGAGACAAAAACATGCCTCAAAAAGTTAAAAAAGTAATGAAAACAGAATAGCCATCAACTCACCCTGTGAATAATAGCAAGTGTGTGGCCACAAGGGCCACCCAGTTGCAGCAAGCACTGGTAGGCCCTAGGCATCGGAGGGAGCAGCACTGTACTCTGCTCAATTGTAGTTGATCACATAAGCTGGTAGAGAGACCACGGACAGAGGAGAACTATTATTGTCATTGTATCACTTGTTGAGACGTGAGAAGAGGGCTTTTCATAAAAAAGGGCTGTTCTGGTTTATGATGCCAGGGCCAGACACTGTAGTACAGCCAGCCCAGGGCAAAAGCGGTCATGGTAACTCCCTGAACACCCTTCCCCTACATTTCCTACACACGCAACTTCCTCTCGGCTCGCTAGACTAGAATCACCTGCCGTGTGCACGATGAGGACCTTTCCCAGGAGGGAGACTTCACAGGTACCCAGTCCCCAGGAGCCAACCCCCCTTGGATCCCACACTACAGGACAACTAGCCAGGAGGACCGAGGGGAATGTTTCAGTCCGACATTCGATCCACAGGCCCCAAGAGACACTCCTCACACCTCACAGACGCCTGTACCACCACCAGACACGTCTTTTTCACACCCCTCACTCTAATGGAGTCTAACCACATCTCTTGCCTCCAAGCATTTTCAAGCATCATTTTCCATAGCGTTCCTCATGGAAGCCCCTTCAGCCACTGTATTCTCACACCTGGCCCACCCATGCATTGGAAAACTCAGCCAGGCCGAAGCCGGGTGAAGGTCCCGGTAAGAGTTTCTATGGTGTCCTTCGGGACATCCGTTAAAATAGGAACGATACAGAGAAGATTAGCATGGCCCCTGCGCAAGGATGACACGCATAAATCGAGAAATGGTCCAAATTTTTAGGGCAGGCAAAAAAAAAAAAAAAAAAAAAAAAAAAAAAAAAGAGTTTCTATGGTTGTTCATGGGACGCTGGACCCGGTTTCCAGCAGGTGCTGCTCCCCACCAATAAATTGGAGCTTCCCATAGCCGGCCATGCTAGGGGGGTACACTCATATCACCCCCTCTAGCACACTGACACGGGGTTTCAAAAAAAAAAAGAAAAAGAAAGAAAAAGAAGGAAGACTCAGCCATGCCCTCGTACTTCTGGTATCGTAGTACCTTTCTTTCACTACCCTCCCTAGTACACTCCCGCTAGCTCAAAGGCTAGACCTTTCCTAAGGAGCTCATCGGCCACGTCTGGTTATTTCAGGCAACAACTTGGCCACATCTGGCTATGCCCATTTTACAGCCTTTCACGGCCAGGTCACCACAGGTAACAACTGGTCAGATCAGGATCCCCAACCCCAGTGCAAAGGCTATCATATCAAGTATGACAACTCTTTAAAAGCAACCAGTACACCAAGATTGCGGTCATCCTCAGTCCCAAGGTTCTCCTAAGGCACTCACCACCTATAGGCCCATAGGCGGCAGTCTCCACACACAATGCTACAGAAGAGGGCTTTTCATCATCAAGAGACTTCAGCATGACCAATTCTTGTGCTGCTGTGATCATTGCTTTATCCTTTCTGCTTGTCAAGACAGTTCATTGTGCTTGACGCTGCTTGGTAGTTAAGTTTCTCCGGTGCAGTTTTCTTGCAAAACAAATTCCAGACTATGTTCACCATGAAAGTAACACAAAATTTGATTTTTCTTTTTTTTGAGAATGACTCTTTTGATAATCATCAAATATGTATTTGTTTTTTTTTTTTGTTTTTTTTTTTTTGGTATCATGATACTATCATCGTATATCCACTAAGTGGTTACCGCATCCGATGAGCTGAATCAAAATCAAATCAATGTGAAAGGTATCTGCACGGAAAGAGACTAATCATTCATTACCTGGACACGGTACCAGGTGCCAAATGTGAATGCATTCAGAGACGGATACCCATCAACCTGCGTCTGGCTTCCCCGACCACTCTTCGCTAATACCTGGGGACAAGATAGCAGGAAAGAGCAGCAAGTTATTTTCGGAAAAGCAGCTTGATACTCGATCGTTCAAAACCAAAAAGAACAGAGGAGGAAAAGGGGAAGGGGGCTAGAAAAGGAAGGAGGATCGGCAGGGGAGAGACAGATCCACAGACTTCGTCTCGTTGGAAATGGCACAATCACAAAACACTTTACCAGACATAAATTCAGCTTAATGGACTTACAGAAAGCGGGACAGTAGGGTTTAGGGTTTAAGAGAGTGGATAGAGAGGAAGAAAGCTTCAGGTTTTAGGGCTGTGGTATAGCATAGGTTTTATCTCTTGGACCAGGAACTGGTAAATTAAGGAATCATTTTAACCGAGGGTGTAGGGCTTAGGACTTACACAGAACCTAGACTAATAGAGTTTACAATTGAAATCCTTCTAAAGGAGTCGTACGTGTCCCATAACACTCTGGTATAACACACCGATCCGACAGTTTCAAAACTGAGAGGAGCGGAATTGGGATCCAGATGGTTTGGCAAATTGAGATAGTACAGGCTAACTTAGGCAGGGGTGAGGGGTGGTACATCCTTCCTCAAGGAATTAATCAATGTCGTCCACTCTGGCCTCCCTGCCATAATGGGGAGGAGCGTACGTGTGTCTCTTGTGTATCTCCTATTGACTTGCCGGGGGAAAGGAACCGGACTGTTGCTCCCCAGAATAGAAGGAGCCAGAACCATGAGGTTCTGTTTTAAAACAAAACAAAAAAAACAAAAAGGGGGGGAGGGGGGCTGGAGAAGGAAGGAGGAAAAGAGGGGAGGGGGGGGGGGAAATGGGGAGAGAAGGGCGAAGGGAAGGTTGTGGGGGGGACACCAGAAACTTCTGGAGGAGTCTATTTGAGAAACTATTCCGGTCATTTAAGGAGAGTAATGAAGGCTGTCCAGGGTGCTCCTGGCCATCAGGAGAAGTGTGAGTATACTTGTACCATCTTTGACTTGCCGGTGGAGAAGGAACTGGACAGATGCTCCCCAGCATAGAACCGAGCCAAGTCCCTAGTGCCCTGCTTAGAAAAATTCAAAAAAGACACTCGGTAGAGTCTGGACTGTTGTGGGAGCAATATAGAGTGGTGGTGAGGATTAGGTCTTCTTCTTGCCTCCTTTTCACTCCCATATCTGTACGCATATGTGTGAGAAGAGCGGCTTCTTTCTCTCTTACACCCTGCCCTGATTTCTTGCATTCTCTCTATCTCATAAAATGTTGATGTCATTCCTTCTTCAAGAGCCTCTCCGTGTTGATCCGTTGATTTTCACATTTTTTGACATTACAAGACCCAAATGCAGAGGCATTCAGGGCTGCTAGTTTGACCAAACTGCAGGCTCTGCTGAAGGGTGTTAGCAATAATAGAGTCCTAACCAACGGGACTAGCTCAGTCGGAACACTAATGAACTGTTCAAATCATGGTTGCCCCACACACGGACATCCGGAGAACCGGGCGCATGTACCGGACCCGTGTCCGGATAAAACTGGATGTCCGGTTAACCGGACATACGAACAACCGCACCCAGACAGTCCGGTTGGGTCGCCAGTGTCCGGTTGTCTG